CATCAGCGCCGTGCGTACGTCCAGAAGGCTCTCGACGGCCATAGGCGTCGTACTGGGGGCGGCGTAAGGGTGTATTTCGTAACAGTATTATATCTACTCAGGCCGCCCAAATATGTATTAAATGGCATTTTTTACCTCCCAAATAGCCGCACATGGGAGGATTATAGCAAACGAATGTAAAGGCGCTAAAAAATCATTTGCGAAAAACAGTGGGCAACGCCCATCTGACTTTAAGCGAAATGTCCACACTTTGAATACAAATTGAAGCATGTTTATATCCAAGGCCTTTGATCCCCTTATCTTCCAATCCCAACGACCTAAGCATCCTAACACCCGGTCAGTTCCACATCGGAGAGCCACTAACTGCCGTCCAGAATACGAGGTGACGGATGTGCCGATAAATGAACTGTCCCGATGGCAATTGGTGGAAAAAATTCGCACACATTTTTGGCGACGCTGGAGTCGCGAGTACCTAACGCAACTGCAATCAAGATCGAAATGGCAGAAACACCACGGACGCGCTAGTTGGGTCACTCGTGCTCATTATAGAAGAAAATGTACCACCTCTCATATGGAAAACCGGACAGATCACGGTGCGCACCCCTCTAATTGCAAATCAAATAATTTAAATTTTAAAATAAGTACATAGTGATATCTATTAGAATCACTTGTAACGGCTAAAACAGTTTTAATCATTTTCTGAAATATCCACATTCAATATGGTGCCATTAGCGATTCTCGGGTTTTTGAAGTAATAGCGGAAGAGTTGAAAATAAGCTGTATTTTACGACTTATTTTAGTAATTTTTATCTCAATCGAAAGCTAGTCTTTTATACTACCCATTTAATTATTGATAGTATTGAGTTAATTATTGGTTAATTGTTATAAATTTATAATATTAAAAGAAATTTATCGGCAAATAGTGCGCACATTTTGCCGACACCCTTTTTCAGAATTTAATTTTACTGTTTAACATTTCTAGATGTTCAAGTATATTCGTAAAACTAACAAGGCAGGATGGTGTGCTGATTTAATGAAAAATGCTATACGAAATGGAAACAGTATTAGAGTAGTGGGTCGAAAATGTGGAATACCAGAAGCATCTATACGCAAAGCATTAAAAGTTTTAAATGAAGGGCTTGATATAAAAGCCCTCGTTTAGGAAGGTGTACTGTTTTTCCTCAAAATGAAGAAAAGGAGTCGAGGAAACATGTTTAAAATTTGCCTATACTGTGGAAATGGAAGTAAAAAAACAGAACATTGGTTGTAGTGCCAAATCTGTACAAACTGGACACATGCTCTTTGCAGTGGATGGGACACTGCGGAGGCGTATGTTTGTGACTTTTGTCAAAAAAAAAGTATCAAAGGTGGCGTGGATATGTGTCTTATGGCTTTGTGTAACACCTCCGTGAGTAATAAAGTTTTTGGACGAATGCGTAAAAAGTTATCGAAGAAATTACAAAATTATCACAAGAGGCAGTACATTCAAATGTTTATTTCCTTGCATTTTGGTGACAGTATAGCGAGTAATTGTCAAAATTAAGCTTTCTAAAATGCAAAGAAGACATTTACCTTATCACCAGATGCTGCCAATAGAGCCATAGGAATGTTAGAAGCTGGTGCCCGCCAGGTAGATGTGGTTCAAATGTTAAATGTGAGTCAAAGTGTGGTCTCACGATTAAGTAATCGGTACCAAGAAACTGGATCTGTAATTGAACGACAAAGGCAAGGTAGACCCAGGGCTACAACAATACGTGAAGATCGTTTATTGATTCGAGAAGCCCGGAGAAATCCCAGATCTCACTGTACTTTACTCAGGCAGGAGCTTTTACACGCCACTGGTACTTCTGTAACGCCAAGAACTGTTCTGAATCGAATCAAAGAGACAGAGTTACGATGTAGGAGACCTTTAAGAACGGTTCCTTTAACTCATGAACATAAACGTGCCAGATTGGCATGGTGTGAAGAAAGGCTAAATTGGCAAAATGAATGGTCAACTGTAATGTTTACAGATGAGAGCAGAATTGGTCTTTATAGCGACCGACGTACTGTTCGAGTATGGAGAGCCCCAGGCAGACGAGTTGATGACCGGTATGTCCAAGAAGTACATCGCTTTAAAGGGGGAACAATTATGGTATGGGGAGGCATTTTTCTTGGAGGTCGTACGGAGCTGTACGTTTGCGAACGCAATATGACGTCCCAAATTTATGAGGCTGACATTATAGACGATATTGTTGACAATTATCGCTATAATTTGGAGCCCCATTTTCGACTTCTGGATAATAACGCAACTTCACATCGAGCCCGCCGTGTGACGCAGCGCCTGCAGACTCTCGGTATTGAACGTTTACCGTTTCCAGCACGTTCACCAGATCTTAACCCTATCAAACATGCTTGGGATATGCTTGGCCGAGCATTCATTGAGCACCAACCACCTCCTGGTCACTTAAGAGATATGCGTCCTCTTCTTCCCATATTATGGGACAATTTAGATCAAGAGATGTTGGATCGCTTGATACTCAGTATGCCCAGACGTGTACAGGAGTGTGCCCAAAATCGCGGTGGTGTAACACATTATTAAGGTCCTGATTAAGCCTATCTGTTTGCCCGGTGGTGTTAGGATTTTGCTTTCTTTTTAATTCTTGTGGTGTTGCAGATATATTTTTCGAATAAAACCTTATAAACATACTCAACATACTGCTCTTCATTAATTTATGTTATAAAATCGCCAGATTTTTTTTTTGGATTAGTTGACTTTTTAATATCCTTAACTTATTTCGACCAGTTTATATAAATTTTTCATAATGTTGTAATACTTTATAATTTCATTTTAAGTGTTAATAAACATTATGCATAGTTAAGAAACAAATAATTTCTTTGTTAGGTTATAAGAATGGTAATCAAATGTACGCGCACCATTAACAGACGCTTGCGCACCATCACCAATCTAGGTCTGATAATCATGTGCAACGCAATCTTTTATATTTTAAATAATAACTATGGACTGTTTAATAAGAATTTATTGTATATTAAGTATGTTGTAAAGAACATATATTATGGCTATGCTCATACTCAATTTCATAACTTAATCTTTAATAATTTACAAATTACAAGCAAATTGGCTTAGGTGCGCACAATTCACCAACTTCCCCCTATTAGAAGTTTATTTTGACAGGTTAAAAAACAACGTTTGATTTAACAACAACAAAAGCATCAACAAACAGACTCAGAGACACCAAAACACTACAACATCAACGAAAGTAGAGTCGAGAGATTAACAGCAACAGGCAAAAACTTGCAGAACATAACCTACAACTAAACACGTGTTTGCAGAGGAGTAACAAACATCTGCAGATTTCTGGATCATCCTGCAGTTTTTAGAGTATAAAACATCTCAGACGTGAACAGACAGATTAATGGCCGGTTGCACCGTTTGTACCTTAAGTTCGATCTAACAAAGCCGGACTTAAATTTTAAGTTAAACTTAATTTAATTTGGCTTGCACTGTCAACGATGTACGTCGACTTAGTTAAGTTCGCTTCTAAGTTGCAAACAGCAAAATTCTGCAACATTTAGTAATTTTGCAACCCTGTTTAGGGAATTGAAGCCGTTCAAATAGTTTGCAACGTCAAATTGAATATTTGGAGGTTAGGAGGGTTATATTTTGCAATTTGCATTTTGGTTTATACCCACCTACCTTGTTGAGTTTACCTCACTGTTGTGGTAGCTTTTGCCTGCATGGGTTTTGTAGTTCGTCTTAAATTTCATTGTCTGCGAGGTAACGATTCGTTCAGGTAAGTTAAATTTATCCTTTCATTACAATATAATTCATATTTGTGTATTTTTATAAGAATGTCGACATCAGAACAAATATTAAGCAACAAACGTGTACGTGGTGCAAACTTTGCATTGCAAGAACGTGACGTTCTGTTTTCTTTAGTCCTAAAATATAAGGACGTCATTGAAAACAAGAAAACAGATGGTACATCATGCCAAGCGAAAATAAATGCTTGGGAAAATATAGCTAAAGCAGTTAATGCAAAATGTCCAAATGGTGTGAGGAGGACGAGCGAATCCCTAAAAAAATTTTATTCGAATGAGAAGAAAAAGGTTCGCAAAGCATCTGCAGAAGATAGAAAAGAATTTTTTAAAACTGGTGGTGGAAAAAACCACCCTCTGTTTTCAACACCATCGATTTAATGGGACAACTGCTAAACGAAAAAACGGTATAAATATGCAATCATTTGATGGTGACAACATCACTGTTCAAGACGAAACAGATTTCAACATCGAAAATGTAAGTTACTATTTTTATTTACATACACTTTGTTTAAGACACAACATATTTGTAGGATCTGTGCAAAGATGATATGGAGAACTATGACCCAGGATTATCATCATTATGATGAAACAAATGTACCAGGCCCAAGTACAAGTAAGGAATGGGAGGAAGAACTGTTAGTGGTAGGTGGTGCAATGATATTTCTCATAAATATTTTAATTGTTATGCGATTATTTCAAGGTTATTGAGCCTGATGACTTATTCAAAAAAACAGACCAACTTGAAGAAAGTTCTGCTGCAATAGTGAGTAATATATGATGTTTATTCATATACAGTATACACTGATATCATATTTATTAGCACCCCCCAAAGAGACGTCGCACTGTGGTTGATGCAGCAGCAAACACCCCCAATATATCAAGACGAAGACCACATATTACTGGTCTCACAACTTCAAAGCTGGGAGAGAAATATGAACAGTTGCTAGACAAGCGCCTAGCTATAACCGATTTGGAACATGCCAGCCAGTTGGCTTGGCGTGACTTTGAACAAAGGCAAATGTCCAAAATAGAAAATTTTCAAGAACAGCAACAACAACTGTATCTTGAAAATTTGAAGTTGGACATTGCATTAAAGCAAAAATATATATATAATGAATAAAACAATGACACTGAATTTGTTGTTTATTTACAAAATTCTATAAAATCAAAATTTTAACTTACAAATTAGCAAAATATCGATTAATAAAATCTGTCCTTGCATTATTAACTAAAATATTGCCATTTACTGAAACAATAGGTACATGGGGAATTTGACCCTCTTCTATTAAAATTTGCAGTTGTCCTGGATCAATGTTTTCAGGTGCAGGAGGTGGTGGTGCATTTGCTTGATTAGCAATGTTATGGAGAACTGCACAAGCCACAATAGCTGGTAACGTTGTCTCCAATTTCAGGTGTAAGCCATATGCTAACACTGGGAAGCGACGTTTCCACACACCAAACAACCGTTCCACCACATTTCTAGTATGAATATGGCATGGTTAAATGGTTAAAGGTGTAAAAAAATAAGACCTCACGGGATATCCAAGTAATAAATTGTCTGGAAATTCATTATTTTCAAAACGTGCCCTGATACGGCTGTTGTTAAAAATGGTCGAGTCATGTGCTGACCCTGGCCATCTTACCACAATATCTTCTATATTTAATTCACCATCAGACACGCACTGAACATTAATAGAAAAATATGTTTTTCTATTTCTGAACACTTCTCCATCGTTCCCTCCTGGCGATTGAATTTTAACATGTGTTCCATCAACCGCCCCCAACACTCTTGGAAATTCAGCAATATCAAAAAACTTTTGCTGTGTTGCTGCTATGTTTGCAGGAGTATCAGGCATTTTTATAAAACGATTGCTTAATCTAGCAAGGGCTACAGAAACCTTTTTTACTATGCGTGACACAGTAGATACATGCATCCCTTGTACATCAGCAATTGTTTGTAAATATCCTGCTGATGCAAAAAACCGCAAGCATGTTAACAGCTGGTTAATTGGACTTACACTATTATTCCTGAAAGATAACATTTGTTAGGTGTTACAGCGATAACTACACAAGTGTTCTTTATTTACATGTCTGATGGAAATTCTAACTGATTCTCAATTAAGTGCAGTATGTCCAGAACTATTTCTTTTGTTAATCCATACCGCCTATAAAATCCCCAATTATCCAAAGACTCGAAGGCATTTGCTCTGTTATATATTCTTCTTGGAAAACCTTGATCCAAAATTTCCAAAATGTCCAAATCATCTTCAAAAATGTCATAATCTCTTGGATTCATTTGTTGTATTAAATAAAATCACGTTCTTTGGGAGAAACACAATATACTTATGATACACACTCTGTTTACCAGTCATTGTTTACAAAAACGGCTTCTGTTTGACACATGGCGTACCTAACATTTGGGCGGGGAGACAAATAAAAGGAACATGCGCAAATCTACACTTAACGTTTTAAGCCTAGAAATTTGCAGGCTTAAAATTAACTCTGGAAAATCCGCTTTAAGTCTCAATCCATTAACGGTGCAACTGAAATCTACAAATTTAGGCCAGACTTAAAGTTAAGTTTGGGTTAGTACATGCGGTGCAACCGGCCATAAAAGTCTCAAATCATAGCAACAACGTATTCCTCAGACGTCCGAAGATATTCTCTAGCCGAACCGAGAACACTCGAAGAAATTTTAGCATATAGCAAAACTATTGAAGCAACTGAAGCTCATCTAAACAAAATGGAAACGTCCAAAACAGAAACAGCTTACAAAGTCAAACAAAAGGAACCAAACAATCAACAGTCATCTCAGAATATCTGTAAAAACTGAAGGAAAAGTGGCACACTGAAGGTCGTAGTAAATGTCCAGCCAGAGAAGCGATATGTCACAAATGTGGGAAAAAGGGACATTTTGCCAAAGTATGCATGTCAAAACAAGCATAGTATACAGCTAACAAAAGTAAACATCACAACAGACAGGTTAGTAAACAGCTTGAAAAGCCTCAGATAGTTTTAACAATTCGTTTAACCTCAAAACAGATAACAAAAATATACCTATTGTAACGCCAAAGATAAACGGTATTATAGTTCAATTTATATTAGATACTGGTTCAGCTGTGAACATCATAAGCACCAAGCCATACAAGCACCTGAAACAACCACCTTTAATCAAGTAGACAACCCCAATAGATCCGTATAACACAAAACATCAACTACCAGTAAAAGGAAAATTCATAGGTATGTTTGAATTTAACAATGTGCAGCTTCAAGCAGAGATTTATGTCATTGAAGGAAATGGTGAGTCACTACTTTTGAAGTTCCACAAAAGAGTAGATGCACTACTGTGATAATATCAAAACAGTATCCAAAGTAAATAATCTGGGAAATCTTTGTAATAGGGTAGTAAATCTCCACATAAATGAAAATGTGAAACCGGTCAATCAAAAACATCGACGAATATTATTTCACATGAGAAAATCATTAGAAAAAGAACTGATTCGGTTATCAAACACAGACATCATTGGACCAGCAGAAGGACCAACGCCTTGGGTATCCCCTACAGTAGTAGTACCAAAACAACAATTTCTACTAAAGTACAGAAGCACCCCACACTCAACTACCGAAGAATCGCCGTTTCAATTGATATTTAAACGACAAATCAACAATTTTTTGCCTTCCTTGCAACAGATACAGAAACACGATGAAGAAATTACACAGAAAGAAACCTTGAAGCGTCAACAAAGAAACAATGCTACTCAAAAGAAGAACATGAAACGACACAACTTTCACATCTGAGATCCAGTTTTGTGCAAGCAAAGGAAACAACATGTTTTGTCTTCACATTACGACCCAAGATCCTATACAATAGTGAACATCATATATACACAGATTACGGCAAAAGACGTGATAGCGTAGTCACTAGAAACTCTTCCCTCTTTAATCATTTTATTGCCCCATCATCTCTCCGGGGGTTTCAACTGAAGCAGCTGCTCCAATACTTCCCGCTGCGCTCAGGCTGGATGAATAATGAAAGTTTTCTAACTTTTATGAATGAAAAAATGTACGAAAAAGAGTCCTATTTTATTACCACTAGATAATATGGATTCACATCTATCAATAGCACTTTTAAATTTCTCCAAAGATAACGGAGTGGTCATGCTTTCATTCCCTCCTCACCGCAGCCACAAGATGCAACCACTACATAGATCTGTTTTCTACTCCTTGAAAAAATTCATTCATTCAAACAGTGATTCATGGTTAAAAATTGTAGGAAATGCTCTACCATTGGACTTGTTCCTAATAATGTAACATCTGGATTTTAAAGTGAGTGGCATCTATCCATTCAACAGAGATATTTTCTCAGACCAAGACTTTCTTCCAAGTTATGTAACAGTTCGACCAAATCCAAATTAAGAATCTGCCAATTTGTTACAACCCGTTGAAATGACAGCGAACACTTCATCGCCTTCAACTTCTGCTCAAGCATAATCTTGGAGTTCGACAAGTACATCTTCGGCATCTACCGTATCTGTGATTGAGTCGGTTTTTCCTCCAGAAGCTATTCGTCCCTTACCAATGGCTAGAGAGAGAGAAAAAACACAAAACAGCAAAGAAAAAAGCGTTAATCTGCTAATTTAACGGATACCCCGGTTAAGGATGAACTGATGCCGAGCAGGTTGCAAGAGCAAATAAAGCTGAGAAGCAAAAAGAGAAAGAAATACCGGAGGAAGCAGCATAGACAAGAATCTTCATCTGAAGAAGAAGAAACTTTTTGCTTGGGGTGTGACGGCAACTACAGTAATTCAAAGGATTCTTGGTTACAATGCACCCGGTGTAAGAGATGGGCACATGAAAAATGCGTCAGGGACATAGATCGCGACATGCTGATTCCAAAAATATAGCACGTTGCTGGTCACAAAGCAACATTTTCGAAAGAATCGGTACGAAATGCGAATGTTCGAAAATTTTAAAAATTTCGATAATTCACCTGTCGATTCTGGAAAAACTGTTGAAGTTATGAAAGAAACGAGGCGGGAAGTGAGTTTTAGAGCTCGAAATCTACAATAAAACGTGTTCAGTTATGTTTCGAAAATGTCAAAAATTGTCCGAAATTTGAAAAAAATTCGCTTTTAAAAAAGTTGCCTAAAAATTGTGAAAAAATTCTGGGACATGCTGATTCCAAAAATATAGCGTGTTGATGATCACGGAACATCATTTTCGAAAGAATCGGTATGAAATGCGAATTTATGAAAATTTCAAAAATTTCGATATTTCAACGGCCAATTCTGGAAAAACGGTTGTAGTTATCAAAGAACCGAGGCTGGAAGTGGGTTCTAGAGCTCGAAATCTACAAGAAAATGTATTCAGTTGGGTTTCGGAAATGTCAAAAATTGGCCGAAATTTGAAGAAGGGGGACCATTGAAAAAATTTTACTTTTAAAGAAGTTGTCTAACAATTGTGAAAAAATTCAGGGATGTAGATCTCAACATGCTGATTCGATAAATATAGCGTGTTGATGAGTTTCGGCTCCACTGGATCCTAATCAGAAGTTAACCAAAGACATGTGCCCCATATCGGACCAGGAGAAGACGAAACCATATCAACAAGTAATTAGAAGTATAATATACGCCAGTCAGTCTAACCGACCTGACTTAACACATGCAGTAAGGGTTGTTAGTCAATTTAGCAATAACCGTGGGCACATTGGACTGCTCTTAAGCGCATATTAAGAAACATGAAGTCGATAAGAAATTATCAGTTGGAATTTAACAGAGATGGAGGTGATGGTATTGTGGGCTGATGTGATGCTGATTGGGCAAATAATAATATGACGGATCTTCGTTCGATTTCAGGGTATCTGTTTCAATATAAAGGAGGACCCATCAGGTGGAGCAGCAAAAAGCAGTCAACAGTTGCCTTGTCAAGGACAGAAGCGGAATACATAGCAATTTCATCAACAGTGAACAGGGCTAAAATGACGAGTTAACTTTACACATAGAAGAGGCCTCTCTTCTTCAGAGTTTAAAGCAACCAAGAATTAAAGTCATAAAAAAGTACCGCTTAAAATGAATCAAATAACGTTTTCAAATATAACTATGAAATAATTAGGGCCAAAAATGATACTGAGTAGATATCAAATCCTCATAAATCCTTATAATAGTATCAAAAATTCCATCCACAAACTGATTGTATCCTATGGAACTACCCAACTACTGGAACCCGATGACAAATTAAAATCATGCCTTAGAAATTAGAAAATTTATAGCGCTATAGATTACTGCTGTATAAATCTCACTAGTTGCGAAATTTCGTGAGACGAACAATACGGACACTATTTTTTTCAGGTTCAAAGCTTTGATAAGATGTTATCGATTTGATAATAAAGAAAAGCGAACATTAGAAAATAAATTATTCTTCTGAACAACTGATAATAATCTATTGGGTGAATAGAAGTAGGCAGATATAAAATCTAATTGAAAAAATTCAAAAAATACAGCCACGTCTTAATCAAGAAAGGAGAATCTATTGGGAGATTAGAAGAAGTAGGCAGATATAAAAACTAATAGAAATAATTTAAAAAATCAGCCCAGTCCTACGTTAATGCGTGCTATAATTACACGCACCCACATATATGGAAGTAAGACCAACCGATATTAATACCAAAGCATTAAAATACGGAAAGATATTTACGGGATGATAGAAAGAAATTTAGGCCCACGTTGAATAATAAAGGTTAATTCAAGTTTATCTTGTCTGCATTTTGTAATTCTGGGGCGAATTATTTCAGGAGGAGATTGACAGAGACTGATTAAAGATGAATTTTACTTATACGCGAAATTTGAACATCGCAAGAGAAATGACACTTGATGTTGGTTAGATCTGGGTTAGCCATTAATCATGCCATTAATCTCAACCATGGCCGACTAGCATAAAGATTATGGCCTGTCCAAGAGGTACGATACGTGCTGCCATCTATTAATAATTACATTTAATAATTTAGCAAAATTTTAATTTGACTTGACATTATGGGACTTCAAAACGTGTAATGGTGGTTTGTTTCGGTATGAATGCTTTTGTTCATTTCAAAAAGTGTTAATAATTCGTTTGTCGTTTTTGAATTATTAATAGATGGCAGCACGTATGGTACCTTTGGCATTCCTTTGGACAGGCCATAATCTTTATACTAGTCGGCCATGTCTCAACAACTTTATGACAGCTGTCTTTCAGAGTCAAGTAGTGTAAATAATCATGAATCTCTTCAATTTCGTAATTAAATACTAGAGGGAGCATGTT